TAGTCAATGATGGGCAAGACACCGACCCCCTTTTTTGAACCTTGAACCTTTTGACTCAACGCCCCATGCTACTCCCAAGCCTTCGGTGGTGCCATGCGACTACCAGTAGTGTCAAGTCTAACACTGTACTTTGGTACACACAACTGGACACATCGGTTGACGGGACCGCTTGAACAGCCTTGGGTTTTGCCCGGAGTACTCCGTATCTCGAGAGCTGTCTCTACCCTCATCGACATTCCAGGCCCGAGGGCGGCTTTGATAGTCAGGTCAGGGAGACGTCATAGACTCAAGACATGAGCTTCGCAGAATTGACATGGACAAACGTGGCCCACTCCGCGCCGTTTGTCTTGGTACTCTGTTTGAGAGCTTAGATTCTTGCTTTATTTCAAGGTCCATCCCCCATGGCGTGAACTGTATGGAAGGCCATGTTGAATTGCAGAAGCGGAATGAAGCTCGTTGAGGAGTTCCGGTTGGAGCAGATAGCCGTGCCGATTCTGCCGTGCTTCCCAGTATTAAGGGTGTTGGCGTGACGGAGACGACAGGTTCGACTGCAGCTTTAGCTCCCGTTTATAAGACTAGATTATCGAATTCTGTCACCCCAGCGGCCTGGAAGAGCACCCGCGTAATGCCTATTGGTTGTGTGCAGAACTGTTCAAAAATAGTACGCACACCAGTCAAATTGCATCATCCATTTCAGGACTGGGCTTGCCGGAGCCTGCAGTGGAGATCATTCTCATGACGCGTCAAGAAAAATTATACATCCGGTTAGCGAGCATGGCTATCCTGAGAAATAACCAGAATGTGCCTTGAGAGTTAGTGAAACAAGCGGAAACAAACATAGCTCGCCAGCAAGTCTTAAGGCTGAAGCGGTCCAACAGCTCATGCTTCAGAAACTGTTGGACCACGGTTTCGAGAATGTCGTGGGGTGGACTCGAAGCTGCAGGCAGTCTGTTGCCCATGGGTTCCAGGGATTATTCACGTAGGACCGCCAAGGTGGGCGTTTGAGGGACTTACCACATGGTCTGTGAGTTCATGTCTGTGCTCTGGCGCGTTTTGCGGCCTTATTGAAAGGCATTATAGCCGTAGGTCGGCGGCAAATCAATCAAATGAACTTCCACGATACGTACTGTTGACACTCCTAAGTGGTCAATGGTGCAATTGGTGATGGCGCCCTGGCAGTGTGGGGGGGAGTATCCATATTGCCCATGGGGTCGGGTAGACGGCGGGAAGCATTACTCTAGAGAACTGCAAGGGCCAAACTCATTGCGCCGTACAGGATAGTCTGTTACTGGCCTCTGCTCAAGCCCACGATAATGAGGCGGAGGACCACGTTCTTTTCCAGTTCCGTGGGTGCTTTGAATCAAGATACCACCAGTTGACAACACCGAAGCCGCCGGGATTGGTACAAGTCCCCACGTCTGGGGAATGATGGCCCAGGAAGTTTGGTATTCCCCGTCTGGTGCAGACGCTACGCCTGCTGCTGATCAATCATCGATTGTCGTTGCTGAAAATAGCAGGCCTCGCCGCCCTATGCATAACATACAAGTCACAAGTTGCGCATCTATCCAATAACAACGGGAATGAGCGGCGGACTCCACGTCGATTTCCAATGATGGTGCCTGCCCTAGCCAAGAACCGGAAAATGCCGCGCTTCGCACTATCCATCTACTAAGCTCCTTATCGCGCATCTCAGGCCTTGGTCTAACTTGGACAACTACATTGAAATGTGCCAAGCAACCGGGTTTCATAGGAGATGATTATATTGCAACTCGGGTAACTTTGCAGGCGCGGCTGCAGCCCAGCCCACACATCCATTGCAAAGGTTGCTGCATCAGTTCGCGACGCACGATGCAGGATTGCCTGGAACGGGGTTGCTCGTGTCCTCGGTCAAAGCCACCACCCACCAGCGACAGGAACAAAAAAACGCATCGTCAGTGGTATCATGAATTGGGAAACTAGTAACTCCATAGATCCCTCCAGGACGAGGGGTCTGATCGATGCCACCACCTCGCGCTCGGTGGGCGGATAGGTTTCCGCCGGCGCCACAGTCAATTTGGCTCGTCTCCTTCTGACAGATTGTTGAGTGACAACTTTGAACGCAGCACCCAAGTATTTTTTCGTGTCTGAGGTCTCCAAGGTCTCTGCGCCGCACAAAGCACCCGCGTGCTGGCGGCAAAAGCTTATATTTCTTATGATAACTGGAGCTGATGAACCAGTACGGATGGGTATTCGAGACGGGCAAGGACCAAAGTCGGAGTGACGAGGCGCGGTGGGCAGAACTGTGTTCAGCCAAGAAATTCCACATTGCTCTCACCGGGCGCCCTTGTGAGCGAGGAGAAACGTCATACGCCGTGCCAACTTGGAGGGCTGTAGACTTGTATCTTCTCCTCTGGGACAATAGCCCAAGGCATTATGAAGGCACCATGGAAGTAAGTACACGGTGTGCATTGCTGGTTGGAATTGACATGCATGATACCACAGAATTCCCTGTTTAGCATATGCTGTAGCTTTGCATGTTGTCGATAGCAAGGGGTTGTGATGGATGATGGACTAGGCCATGACGGATGAAGAGCGAACATTGAAAGCGAGAGCCACATTGACGGCGTGAGTCGGCACTGGTGCTGAAGTTGCTGTTCTCCGGACTGGTACGATTCGATTGACCCAAGAAAAAAGGCAATCCTTTGCCGAACCAAAAAGGCGATGCGATGCAATCGAGCATGAATGGGTGATTGGACTACTTTTTCGCTGTGCATATTGGTAACAAATGATCCATTGTACAATTGCTGATTGAAGCGCCAGCTCTTCTGCGATGAGGGCGGGGGAGGGGCAAGGGGAGATGGATGGATGGATGGATGGATAGCCAGTCCAATTGCTGGGAACTTTTAGAAGCTCAGATGTTGCTATCGACACGCCTCTGGTCTACCCGGCAAAGTACGCACTATGCATTCGCACGGAGTACGTGGCTTTGTACCCGGCGTGGTATTGTGTACCTGCTCCCCAAGGCTGCACAGGTCTGCCTTGTCCAATGCTGTCTGTAATACTCTGTGCTCCGGACAAGGCTCCAGATGTCCGTCACGACTTGCACACGATTCTTGGTCAAATCTCATCTCGAGCATGCAGTCTGCAATCCAAGCTCCGTGCCCCGTCATGCCTGCCCCGATGCCACGCCAAATTGCGCAAATTGAGCCCTGTTCAACCCTGTTCAACCCTGTTCAACCCTGTTCAACCCTGTTCAACCCTGTTCAACCCTGTTCAACCCTGTTCAACCCTGTTCAACCCTGTTCGACGACCCTGTAAGTGTTCAAGCGCCCCTCGACCCTGCTGTTTGTGCGGTTTCTTCTTGTTTCTTGTTGCTCTTTGAAAGCTCAGCTCCAGAGTGTTCACTCCCACCCCAGGCAGATCGTCAAGTCAATTGGCATTTGAGCAGGACCTACGGGGTCATTAGAATGGACCTCGAGTGCACTACTTGAACAGCCAGCTCACACCCGTCATATATGTACGGAGTACACCCGCCCTACACCCATGCGACGGTTCGGGACATGGGGACTGGGAGATGCGATGGAGACTCTCTCTTAGACTCCCCAACTTTCTCCATGTGGAACTCTTTCTCACACACCGGCCGACGGATGTTCAGTTCAAAAAGCTTGGGGGGCCGGCACCAGACCAGTGGTTTCTTGGGCATATCTCTGTCGAAATCTCCAGCTTGGGATGTGCTTTAACTATTAATGCCTCTGCCCTCCCTCCCCCCGTCCTATACTGCCCTATTCGAGCTCCTCTTTTTTCTCACCTGGATGAGACCTTTCTCCACGCTTCAACTCCTTTGAGTCTCCTCGTTGCCTTTTATAAATTTGTTTTCCTCATTCGTCGTCCTCTTCGCGCCTTGCTGGCAACTGGCGAATGCCTTCACTCATGCTCCCAGGCTCGGCCCCGGTGTGTATTTCGTACTGAGCTTTGAGCCTTGAGCCGCGAAGGGAGGGCCCGTCTGTTGGCTCTGGCCATCATCTCAGTCTGTTAGCCACTGCCATTCAACACCTTCTCAACAATCAGTCAAGGGACACACCACGTCTCCAACTCTACTTACCCCAGACCAGAGAACCCTACGAGTTTCTCGTTCCCAGAGTGCCCGCGATTCAACCTCAACTACAGCGCCAAGCACAACAGGGACGAGCACATCCGGTATATTGGCGCCAAAATACAAAAACTTGAATTGTTTTTTCCTGGAATTCAGTCACGATCTTTGCGCGCCCTGTGGATATATCGGCAACCCTCAGCGGTCCAATACGGTCAAAGTCCAACACGCTTGCACGCTTCACAGCTAACCGCAAACCTGGGCTGCCTGGCCCTAGCAACAACTTCATCTACAGCGATCCTGCAAGACACGATAGCACCGGCGACTCCGGGCCCTGATTTGGTGCCCGCGCTGGCTGGCTAGTGGTGGAAGGGCTTGCAGCCATTACGTCGTACACCTCCACCCCTCCCAGGGCTGCTCCAGTCGAGCATTCGGTGTCCAGGACGTCGTGGGCATCTGTTCATGGTGCCTGGTCACACTTGGTGTCGTCCTGGCGGCTTGGTTCCATCCGGTTTCTGGTAGCTAGCTTGGGCGCCTCGTTTCCAGTCAAGTGGCGAGCCTGCTTTTTTGGCTGCAGCACATCGCATTGCCTCGCAGGTCCTGGAGTACACGACGGTCCGCGGCCAGCTCACTCACAGTACTGCAGCACTGTAACCTGGAACCCAGTACTCGGTACGGACGAGTGCGGACGCATTCCTATGGTGCAACAGTGTGGCTGATCTTTTCTCAAGTACTTGGGCGTCTTGGCTAGTACTGACTGAGTACAGCATTGCCAAGTCGCTGAGAAGGAGGGTTTGTCACCTTGGCGCCTTCCATGGCAGCTTCGACTGCGACTTCCATTCTTACTAAGCAACACTCTGGCCCTCGGCCGTCACCACTGTCACCACTGTCGCACCAAACCGCACAAACCACACGAACCACACGAACCACGATGGCGCTCTCACTGGGTCAGGTTCATCCGTGGACCTCGAATACACTGGGTCCGGCTGAAGACCAGCCAATGTCGTCTTCGGCTAAGAGGACTGGTGAGGGTGAGTGCTTTTTTCCTTTTGCTCTGCTCCGTAATCTTTCATGTTTTCCTGGTCTTTTGTCTGTTCCGCCAAACCCGATCCACACCTGGCATGCACCAGCAGCAACTCAACCGCCCCTCGTGCGCTTCGTGCCCCTTCGTCCCCGAACCCCCGACTTTCAACCCCCGACCCCCGACCAACCCTCAACCTTGACCATCGACCATTCGCCTATCGACCATCCGCGGTCGCCTGCCAGACCAAGCCCTCTTGGCTCTTGCCATTGTCGAGCTTTACTGGTCCGTTGGTTGGTTGGTTGCACCCATTTCCATTTCCCTTCAATGGCCGCCGGATGGAGCCTTGCCTCGTGTCGCCCGGCCTCACACCCCCCCTTTCCTCTTGGCCCGTCATAGTCGTGGCCGTGTGCGGCAGTGACGTGATGGTCTCCGGCTCCATCAGTGAGAAATCCACACCTGACTTTAGGCCCTTGCACCTTGCACTAGTAATATCAATTTTGATGCTCGCCGTCAGCTCCACGTCCATTAATTATTATTAGCCCTGCTGACTTTTTCCCTGCTACCCACAATACAGCGCGAGCCTCGCTGCCGGCAGACCCAAAGCGCCCTGCACCGCTGCCCGCCTCCAGTGTCTCAGCCAAGCAATCCGAGGCGCCGACGCCGACGCCGACTGCCACGGACAGTTCCACCACCACTTCCGCCACATCGGACTCTCTTTCTGTCCCTTATTACTCAAGCAGCTATTCTTCCTCACCTCGCCAATTCCCCTCAGACATCACCGATCCTATTCTCGAAGAAGGCGACGTTGGATCTGGCACAGACTCGCCCATCGAGCCGGTCACTCCTGTGAGCGGAGGCCGCCACTCTCAAGATTTCAATACTCTACGCCAAAGCCACTACAGCCATTACGGCGAATACCAAGCACTGCAAAGAGCGCAGACGGCACAGAATCCTCCAACCCCAAGCTCGAAGAAGGCTCCTTCACTAATTTCGCAAACATCTGCGCCGCCGGCTGCTCTGGTCGGCTCCGATCCGTCTTCCGCACCACGAGCCGCTGGATTAGAAACATCGCCGCAAGCGCCCCTCCAACGTCCCACCCGTGGCTCTACCAAGAGCCTTAAAGGCACCATGTCTCGACTCTTCAAGCGCTCCAACTCTTCCTTGGAGAAGGAGAGGGAATATGCTATTGGCGCCACCCCTGCGCCAATCTCCGAGTCTGCACCACAATCAACTAGCTACCTCAATGGAAATGCCGCACCAAGCAGCCGGTATCTGAATGGCAACAAGTCGTCCACAACCACTCAATCAAATTCGCCGCCGTCGCCAGGCTCACCTCTGGAAATGGCACTTTCTTCACATCGCTCGACCATTGACACCAACGGTACGCTGCCCAACGCTGTCGATTTCCAGAAGAAGAACCGAGCACCAACAGGCTTAACCCTCCGTGGCCGGGCGGTTAATTTCGTTGGCGCTACAATGGGCCGTGGAAACCGCCCCACCAAGGGCCCTCGGAGAGCGAGCAGTTTCGACATGAGCAATAGACCTCCCGTGCCTGCTTTGCCGAAGCCCATCGATGAAGAAAAGACGTACCCCCCCGAGCGGCTCCCATGGCCCCTGCCTCCTGACGCCGGCACTGGCGCAAAGGCACGTCGCATGAGTTTAAGCCTCCCTGACGATTTTACTGTGGATGTTGCTGAGCTACTCTCCGAGTTTGAGTATCAGCACAAGTTGTTGGGTCGGCACGGGAAGCATTTGGGCAAGGGCGCCGCCTCCAAGGTTACTCTCATGGTTCGCAAGGGGTGTCCGGGCGAACTATACGCAGTCAAAGAATTTCGAGGCAAGTCACATCGCGAAAGCCAAGAAGACTACGAGAAGAAGATCAAGTCCGAGTTTAGCATTGGCAAGAGTCTTCACCATCCGAACATTGTTGAAACCATTCGGCTATGTACCGACCATGGACGCTGGAATCATGTCATGGAGTATTGCGCAGAAGGAGACCTTTTCGGTCTTGTGCAAAAGGGCTTTTTCAAGGGCGAGGACAAGAAGAAGGATCGCCTGTGCCTCTTCAAGCAGTTGATTCAGGGTGTCAACTACCTTCACGCCAACGGCATCGCGCACCGCGACATCAAGCTCGAGAACCTCCTCCTCACCAAGGACAGCAAGCTAAAGATCACCGACTTTGGTGTTTCCGAAGTGTTTAGCGGAACCCATCCCGGCCTGAGAGAAGCTGGTGGCCAGTGTGGTCAGAATATGGGAGAAGTTCGCCTCTGCTCTCCCGGAATTTGTGGCAGTGAGCCGTATATTGCACCAGAAGTTTTGGAAAAGAAGCACAGCTACGACCCGCGAGCTCTGGATGTCTGGAGTTCGGCTATTGTCATGATTTACCTAACCTTTGGCGGGGCCATCTGGTCTCGCGCTCAACACGGCAACTTGCACTACGACAAATTGGTTAAGGGCTGGAATAAATGGTACGAAAAGCACCCCGAGTGCGATGCTTGTATCACAGACACGGACTACCCCAACTGCTACGCTCTAGACGTTGGTGTCAATCCCCCGGCACTGCGACGCATTCTCCTGCAAATGCTCAACCCGGACCCCGCCAAGCGCATTCCCATCAATGAAGTGGTTAACAACCGTTGGATGAAGAATGTTGAATGCTGCCAACTAGAGTCGTACGATGACCCCAACCAATTTATCGACGCGACCAAGAAGGACTATAGCAGCAAGATATCAACCAAAAAGATCTTCTGCCACAACCACCTACCGCCAAAAACGAGTGGGTCTCACTCGTTGGGCAAAATGCCTGGCACTGCAGGCTATTAATACTCAGGGTCTCGAGGCGAACAGGCTGGAACTTTCTTCCCATCCGTTGTGTTTCTCATGTTCCAGTCGTTATTTATTCACTAATTCTTTCATTTTTCGCACCCATGGCTATTATGTCGAGTGTATAGAAACATTATTCACAAGGCGCTTTTAGGAAGACGGGAAGCACTTTTGACCATGACTGGCGTTGGCAAAGGGCATTTAGCGGCTGCAGAGGAAGCGAGCAATCGTAGTGAGCCGTGCGTGGCGTTTGGTGTCTGTCGCTTTTTCAGTTTTTTTTTCTTTCTTTTTTTTTGTCCCTTTTTCCTTGGATTTCTTTTGCGGTCTTATATGGGACAGTGCAGTGTAATTGCTGGCTGTCCTTTTTGCGCACCACCTTCAAAGGTACAGTGCATTAGCTGCCTCTGGACATCGGGGCAACTCTAGCGTATATACTACATGTTTTTATGGCTTCGACTGGCCAGCCCTTTTTTTAGTCTTCTTTTTTTGCTATCCGTATCCTTAAGTCTTGTCATTTATTATTACTGGTATTGTTCATCTGGTTACCTAGGAAAGGCGGGCTTCCTGAATGGTATGTATGGTGGTTGTCTATCTTATTTTCCAACATGACGCATTGGACGAATTTCAAGTATACGAAACATTGAAAGGGCGGTATCGCAAGGAGAGACGGTGTAGAGGCATGTGGCAAGTGCCCTTGATTGGACTGCACATGATACAGGGAGACGAAGAGAAAGAAAAGAAAGATTTTTGGTTTTCAAACCCTAGTCGTTGCAGCCCGACTAGAGAAGCAGTCTTTGTCAAACATGATAGATTGCAATGAAACGATACGTAACGCTTGAGAAAATTTGGTTCCATTGTAGATGTCCCTCGTGAATGGCAACTGTGGAAACACGTTGTCAGCGACTGACCGTCGCCCATTGTCTCCTGTCTTGACTCGCTGCATGATGTTTCCTTTTCCGGTTCTGTCTCAAGTTGCTGCCGAGACACCGCGTTGGCTCTGTCGATGACTGTAGTCGTGCAACCTGGTGCGTTGTGAAGTACATTGTATAAACAGCCTTGTTCTGCGAAATGGCGATGTACATACGAGGGTTTCGGCCAGCCTGCCAGCATTACCATCAAGGCGGTTTCGAAACAACATGGGGCGGACAATTATGCATGCGTGGAGTTCTGATTTTTTTTTTTTTCCCAACTTGGTACCACGCCGCATGCTGGCAATGGGCATGTTGACTCTCGCAATTCATAGTTCTGTTATTTCAATTTCTTAAATCCGCCCCCCGCCCAAAAAAGGAAGCAGCTCCTGGCACCGAGTTTTTGCAGGGCGAAGCGTGGCTTACACTCGGTCTACATCGTCATGGACTCATGGCAATGGCGAACGTGACAGATGCCAACCTTGTGCCTTTGTCTTCTTTCTTTGGAAAACGGGGCTGAGTCACACTACGGGAAGGTAGCGGCAAATCAAGTCCCTGGTAAATGTAGATGTTACGGCTCCTCACGTTGCACAGCAGGGAGGCTTGCAGCGGAACAAGGGCACGGGGAAAGGAATGGGCCGGGCGGTCTAGTGATGCAAGACTCAAGTGGCTGACGGGCTTGGATGGTCATTGCAGAGAACCAATGACGGTTATGGCGTAACTGATGGATTGATTGTGGCCGGCATATAAGTCGACGTGGTGATGGGTTGTTACTGGCCAGAGTGAGACGGGACCTTGTGGGAGTTGATTCTTTGGGAGCAGCAGGTCGAGCAACAGGTTCCGTTTGTAGCTCTGGGTACCTAATTGTATATTAGTTAAGCTTGAAGGGCCATATAAACGGCAGCTATGCGTATTTTCTTCCAGGATAATTCGCCTATCGGGCAAGGACGAAGGGAATCACCCGCATGTATGCATGGATACTAGTACATGTAGTGACGGGGGCGGTCTCTGAAAGAGGCTGACAGGGGAAGTGACACAAAGAGCATCGGTATGCCTGTTCAAGCATCAATGCTTATTTTTGAGCTTTTAAATTTTTTGTCCGCATGCTCAGATAGAAAAAAAAGACAGACGCAATCAATAGGTTGACGTTTGAGGAGATGTGGGCGGGCGTTTGGACGGTGGGCGAGGCAGGGGCAAGGCCCTTTGGCTTCGCAGTCGGCATTTGGATAATGCATGGCGGCAATCGAGAATGCTAGTGATTATTTACAGGAAGATGAAAGCGAGTCGAGTTGTGGGGTGGATGTGAGGGAAGCAGGCCTGACGGCTGAGCAAGTAAAAGATCATGGGTGGTGAGATTGGTGAATGGTGGAGGATTGCCGGTTGGGGGTTTGTTGGCCGCTCACATCTCAGATGCTCCTTCCACCATTTTTTACTCTCTCTTTGCATGGCACCTGCTGGCACCTGCTGGCACCTGTTGGCACTTGCTAGCACGAAGCAGTCAGCCATCTGCCTGCAAAATAGCTCAGCTTGTGGCAACAACATGGAGTTAACAGAGTCAACTGATGAAAAAGATTCAAGTATAAAAGCGGGACACGGCTAAATCGGCTTCATGGGTGCCCTTTGCCAATTCGCTTGACAGGGTTTCCCCTCCCTCGTGCCTTGACTACCGACAATCCAACAGAACAGGACATGACTAGGCTTGTTCTATCGACCGCATTGTATCATGCCACCGACCTGATTGGCTCTGACTTCCTCTACTGCTGTACTTGGTAGAGCCAACGAAGACGTTCGAGTGTGCTCCGGCAACAGCCGCCCTACAAACACGGCGCCGCTTCGAGTAAAGGCGAGGCGAGGCAGCGTGAGGTGAGGTGGGTGGCGGTCCAGGGTTCTACCGCCAATACTTGAAAACGTTTGGACCAAGAGAGACTCACCGACTGTTGGGGGACCTGAATATTGCTGAAGCGGCTGAAAGTAGATGTGAGAATAAAGAAACAACAGCAAGTGGAAGGATGGTGGCGCCGCGGCGGGCCTGCTTGCCGGACGGCTTTCGTGCCTGTATATCCGAGACACCTTTTGTCACGAGGCGGCAGCGTGGGCGACGGGGCCAAAGGTGTTACTACGTACATGTGTACGGAATACATACGCCTCTGAGAACCTGCGTGCAAAAAGGAGGCAGGCTTGACTGACTCTACTGTGTGTCTTGAGCTGGCGGCCGCGGATCGAGTTTAGCCCGCAAAACGCTGGTGTGAAAATCATGGCGAGCTTGACACGGAAGAGGGCTAGAGCATAAACAATCAGTTTCCTTTCCGCTCATAGAGACAGAGTACACGACACATACACACCCGGCAATACGGCACTCCAGGCATCACGTTGCCAACAAAGGCGCCTTGAACGCTTGGTCATACGCATCGTCAAGCGGCAGCAAGAGTACACACTTACACAACAACTGCTCGCTGGCCAACTCATTATGTGGTTGTGAACCCCAGCCTGGCAGCATGCCAAGAATGTGCCTGGAAATAAGACGCTCATAGCGAAACAGGGCCATATTCTCCGTCTGCGTTCCCATACACAATCTAGACGCCCAAAGCACCCCCCCGTGTAACCATGCAAGTATTTCTCCAGATGGTCCGCCATAGCCGCAGGCCGACTGGCTTCTGAGTGGGCTGTTCAATCTAGCACCAAGCACGTTTCGCCGTCGGATGACTTGTCCTGTTTCCCTCTTGCGTTGCAGCGACACCAAGCCACCGAGCTAGGTTTAGGTTTATGACGGCACCTGTGGACGACGGCTGCGAATGCCATCCATCTCTGCAAGCCCTCGTCTTGCCTCATCTCTCCCCATCTTTCCTCCCGTGTCATGAGCACTCGCGTTGTCCCTCGTGCACGCATGCCCCTTTTGTTGATCTGATGAGCTGGAACCCGGATACCGGCAACAAATGGGGGCCGCAAACAAATTTGTCAGTGCTCTCGCGTAGCCAGTACTCGAGTTACTTGGGCTGAGGATGTGGACATGATGTACCTTTTCATCTTGTTTATGCAGGGAAACGAGGAGGCTGACCCTCGTACTGTGTTGCAATCCTGCAGTCCACGTGCAGTGGGTGTGTAAATATTGAAATAAGAGGCGTGAGGCTTCCAAGCAAGCATTGCGCCCATGTTTCCAGAATGCTTGAATCCAAGCCGATGCTGCTATGGCACATGTGATTAATCTCTGCTGAACACTACTCGAGTAGTGCCGAATTCTACTGAGATATCATTAGGTATTTCTTTTTATCTCCTTGCTGTTAGAAGCCTATTCAAAACGGAGAATCTTGAAATGACCAGAACCACAGTTGACGACTTGCTCGTATACTTGTATCCGATCATTGTGACCCGTCAACATATACCGAGGTATATATGAAGGGAAAACAAAGGAAATGATGATGTAAATAATAAACAGCCAATTGACAACTACACGCGGGCGATATCATTCATCACATTGAAATAACTCCATCCATAACCCAGTTGCGCGCACATATACACACTTCAAATGCTGTATACGCAATAAAGAGATGCAACGACATGCCTACAGAACCGAATGAGAAAAAGCAAAGAAAAATTTGCAACCTCACGACAACTTCTTCTGCATCAGGTCCGCCAGCTCGTCCAAGAGCTCGACCGTCTCGGCCGGGCTGGCAATCCAAGCCGTTGTGCCCACGCTTCGCGCTTTAAAGTCATTGGATCCGGCGCTCAAAAACTGGTCTCCGACATGGAGAGTATTCTCGCCCTTGATGGCTACGCCCTGTCGAACAAACCACTGCTGGCAAACAGTGACGCCCCAGCTCTTGTCGCCGATGTCGACAAAGACGTCTCGCCCGCCGTTGAAGGCACAGAATGGAACGCCCTTGCGCCCGGTGGCAGGCGACGACCGCCCAGCAACCTGCGTCTGCGAGCCAAGGTGGCTGAGTTCAAGGATTCTCTGTACCACAAGAACCGTTTCCTCGAGACTTTCGCGTGCGATGCGGATGTGAGGCTCCGACGGAATGATGCCGACCGCACGGTCTTTGCGTACAATGGTTGCTGGAAGATTCATTGTGCGAACGCAGTCCTTCAGCGCTGATTCCGCCACGTCCAGAAGCGCGGCAATGTCTGCTTCAGACCAGGCTGCCATCTCGGGAGTGAGCCACTGCGGTCGAGGGACAGGCGCCAAGCGGTGAGGCGAAGATGGCTCGTATGTAAAGAGGTAGTTGGCTTCGCCGCCCATGATGACAACACTTCGCTTCTGAGTTTCGTCCAAATCGGGGGAGGCAGCGATGGCATCCAAAAGACCATGAAGACGGTCGTAGTATCGATCAGCCGTGGTGTAGCCTGCAGCCGTCACAATACCTATCTTGATGTTTTTGCGTAAAAGATCTACCCGCGAATCACCGAATCGTGTGAGCCGTCTTTACTCATACAATCTTCATACACACAAAAGCAGCCACTCACCGAGGAGTCGCGGGATGATGGGGCTCGTGGGCTCCAGACTCTCTCCATCATCGTACAGCGTCACATCACCATCAAAGGTAGCGAGCTGCAGCGCACCGCCAGTCACGGCCATGACCTGTGCTGAGTTGAGCACCAAACGCACATCGTTGAACGACGGGGCTACATATCGTCTAGACGAAATGTATCGTTTCCTGTCCTGATACTTGAAGGCAGCTTCCAAAGGCAGCCTGGTGAAGAACGGGCCGGCTGTGGGGACCAGCATGCCTAGCTTTGATGGTAAGGGGGCTATGAGACTTGCTACGGCACCTTCCAACCCTTGCGATTGGGTTTGATTTTGTCTTTGGCGTGATACTAGATCAAGGCATGTTAGCAATTACACAGTCGTCACTTTGGAGCGCGCACAACATGTTCATCTTTTTTTCTTTGTGGCAGCTCAGAGATGAAGTCAGAAACGTACTATGATCATCAATCATCATCTCGACGTCGCGCATAATTTCTGCATACCGCCGATGAGCCTCCTCGGCCATCTTGGCGACGCTGGCATCGTCGCCAAGCACCCCCGTGGGTTGGGAGTAGAGCACAAACGGCACTGCGAGAAGACCCTTGACCCATTCTGTGTCCAGGTGTCAGCGTGATGCATTTGTGTCAAGATTTATATAGGAGCAGCCCGCAACACGTGCAGTGCGAATAGACCAACCTATGAACTGATCTCGTCGATGGGTCTTGAGAGCATCTACACGGCACGGCACAGTCAGCACGATTACATTGGTTGAGTCTCCATCGTCTCAGATACCACGGGTTCTAGTTTCGTAATACGGCAAATGATGACAGTTGGCGAACAGTGCAACTTACACTCGACGCGATATCTAGTCGTCATGCTGCAAATGAGGCCGTCTCCAAGTTTTGTCCAGGCTAGAATATGGTACAAGTTGAAGAGTAGCTTAGCTGCTGCACAAGCTACACTTCAAATGCAATCTCGGCGACTCGGTCACCGCTAAGACCAAGTGGACGCCGCGTTGGGGAGACAGGTGAAGGCCAGAAAAAGGTGAAGGTTGAAAGGGGGGAGGGAGACGGAAGATGAGTCGTCCGGTATTTGGAGGTTCGCTAGCTTTGTTAGCCGGGATGATCGAGGTTGGGTCGAGGGAGCTCAAGATGATCGCGGGGAACACACATGGTGAGAGGGAGACGTCAGTCTCCAGGGTGGGGCAGGCAGGCGGCACCCGCCGGTCCACGGCCGACAAGTTGCATATTGTGCATGGCATTTCGGTCAGGCCCGACTCACATTCCCAGGGCCAGGAATAAACATCCATCCTTGTGTGTACCAAACTAGCCAATATGTAACTATAACTCACACCCACTTTTTTTATTTTGGGAAGTATTGCTTTATTTCGCTATTAATGCTCTTCTAACAAAATGTCCATAGTCCAATGTCACCACAACTGGGCGGGATTGGTCATGACTAACCAGAGTTGATCATGCTCCAACATGTCTCCCATCAGTCAAACGCCCCCCAGCCCACTTTGCTCGACAGTTGTGTCTCTATACTATTGACCGAAAACACCCCTCCCACCATTACGGCGGCATCCCAGCATAACCTCTTTGGCCATGTGAGAAAAGAGATTGCTACCCGGGCACTCGAAGCAGCCTATGTAAAGGAGTGCAGTGGTATCGTTGACATGCTTCAAGTAGCCCAATCGCGTATTCCATTGCCCCATTGTCGTCCAGATTCTTGGCCCTGCCTCCCCTCCCTTGTCCATGGTAGGTACATCACTATTCTCGCTCAAGTGCCGGCCCGCAAAGACAATACCCCGTCGAAAAATGCTTTTCATATCCTTTTCAAACTCCGGTCTCCCTTACAAGTGTAAGACGCGGCGGTATACCAGTGACAACCCGACACGGCACCGTGCAGTTCAGATATCCTCAATTTCGCTCCTTTAACTCGCCGTAGCGCCAACAACAGCTTGCGCCTGCTGCTGAGCCAACAACTGTTCCTGCTGGGCTTGTTGCGCCTGCTGGGCCGCCACCTCGTCAGCCTTCACCATAATCGTCTGAAGCAGGTTTTGTTCCTCGGCTGAAAGATGACTAGCAAGGCTGCTGTAGAATTGAGGCTGTTCTTGTTGCATTTCTGCGAAACCAGCATATTAGCGACTCGTGGTCAATGTTTCAAAAGCTCGCCCGAGTTCAGGCCCAGGGTGACACATACTTAGAAGAGTGGCCTTGAACAACTGGTAAGGTTCGACCTTGTCCAGAGGAGAGTCGAGCAGAACACTATCCTCACCCAGCTCATCGTCGTCATCCTCAATCGCGCGACTATACTTCTGGGCCTGTAGATGTGGTATTAGCTTGCGGTTTTTCAAAAGCGCAAATATGTGCGGGCATGTTGTGGTGCTACAAACCTCATCATTCAAGAACTCCAGGTACGCCTTGCTCTCGTCCTTAGATTCAACAGGCTCTTCCTCGTTGTTCTCTTCCCCTTCGCCATTCCAGTTGGCCTCGTTGTCGTCCCATTCATCCTCTTCGCCGTAGTCGTAGGTTGTCTCGAGATGGAAATCATCGCGCAAAGCTTCTTCACGGTCTATCACAGTGTCAGTCAGGGACCTAGTGACGCGAGCAGTCTCACCAGACATCACTTACTCTTCATAGCATTGGGCAAAGTTCGGAACAATTCTGTAATCCCCTGAAGCAAGCGTGGCCAACCAACAGACACACTTGCCGGAACCTGCTCATGACTGACACCCAGGAGAGCAGAGATTGCGACAATGCAGAGCTTCTTGTCATGTACGCGGCTGAAAGACGTCATGCTACCAAACCACAAGCTGAAGAAGCGATTTGTCCAGCCCTTATTTTCGAGCACCTGGAGGGTCAGCAGTGGGTTATAGTGAATAGAGTTGATGACCATTTCCATAAGATGAATCTTGTAGCTCTTGATCTTCACTTCCTGGGTTGCCAATATGCCCATGGCCATGTTAATGAAGCCTTCAACACAGCTGTCGATATGTCCTCGGAGGCTAAGCATCATAGCCTCGGCGAGCTTGCAGGCGCAAATTCGTTCAACGCCGCCTTGAACTTGGTCGGTGAACATATCAGCCACCATTGAATACAGGGCCTGGATATACTCTGGTTTCTGGATTAACTGCGGTGTGCCGTATTGAACAAAATTGTCCAATGCGGGAAGCATATCCTCCAAGTAGTATTCGGCACCAGCCTTGAATGTGGTGTGAATGAGCTCGAAAGCTTGCCACATGTTGGGCGAGATGCCCTTGGCAGCAAATGTGCAGCTATCAATGATTTCAAAAACTTCATTGTACAGATCTAAAGCTGTTTGTGAGCAACAACCCAGCAAGACGAGAGTCATGGTCGAAGGGTTCCGATTGACTTACCATAAAGCTTGTTCTCTAGAGTGACTTTGATCACAGGCATAAGGACGGCCTCAATATGAAGAAGAACATCAGGGGTGCTTTCCAGAGTGAGGATTAAGGTGCCAATTGTTTGCAAAACACCAAGAGCGGTAATGCTCTTATCGTCATAGTCTGCATACAACTCGCCATCTTCACCGGCCTTGCTCTCCTTTTCGAGAAGCTCACGGACAATGCGAAGGTAGGTGTCGCGGAGTTGCTCGCACAGCGCAACAGCAAATGGAGTGAGTTCAGTGGCAAAAATCTCAACGAAATCCTCCATGACGTTTGCCAGCGCATCAATGTCGACTTCGTTGGCTAGCTTGAGAAGCTGCTGCATAATGGTAGGAATACTTTGTTGCATGCTAGAGCGAATGACATCGTGTCTGATGAGAGGCTGCAGCGCCAAGGCCGCAGTAACACGAACAGGGAGAGCGGGATCTGCCATGCAATCCAAGATGTGTCGATATATCGTCAACAGGTTATTCTGATCCTGGAAGTTGAGCTGCTCAAATTTCTCGATGGTGTCGCACGCTCGAGCGCGGAGATAGCCCTGGCTGCTTGTAAAATCAGGAAACACATATCGGACGAGAAAGTACTCAACCTGGTCAGCAATGGGGCTCTTTTTGCTCAGGATAACGGGCGCAAGGGTAGCAATCATGCGCAAGGCTCCCTCCTTGGCCATGTGGTTCTTCTTGTCGTCAGGTGCTTGCTCGTACTCATTGACAACGGCGTTAACAAATTTGAGAATTTCAAACGTTTCCTTTCGGCGGTTTTTGGTCAAGTTGACCAGGAAGTTGGTGGCGGCCACATCAGGAGCAGATGCTTCCTCGAAGTAGTTGAGCTTGCGGTGCAAGTATTCCTCGGGTTCGTCGTCGAATTGTTCGGCATCTTCCTCGGAGAGACACATGACAGGGAAGATGAAGTGCGTCACAAGGTTGGTAAGATGGGCTTTGAGGTGAGTCCACATTTCCTTCGGGCGGACAGATTCGTCCAGAAATACGATAACGTATGAAAGACAAGGTCGGCTGAGCCAAGATGTCTTGGCCACCCATTTCTCGATTTCCTGGAGATAGTGCTTCAGAATTTCGGGGGCAATAGTGCCAATGAAGTTCTTGGCAAATTGTGCAGCCTCATCGCCCTTTCCAGGACTGGCAGGGTTTCCATGTCTAGCTAAGTCAGCTCATACCCAACTTCAAAACCATGTGTACGGAGAGATCGAACGAACCTGATGAACAGTCTATTGAGATTAAAAAAGGCCCACTTCTTCGCCTTCCACCAGTGATGCTTCTCGCGATCAAAGGAATCGCCTTGCATGGCATTGGCAGGTGCAGCCTTGGATACGGTCTGGAGGAACACGGTACACCATGCAATATTGACCTGCTGTTGTCGCAAGTGGCTGGAGAGCTCGAGCTGTGCATCACAGTGAGAGACGATTAGTTGAACAACGTCCTCAGTAATCAAAATATTAAGAGCAAGAATAACTTCCCATGTTTGTTCTTTGGGGGAAGGTTCAACTTACCCATGTGGCATGCTTGTAGGACTTGAGAGCCAGGTGAAGCATCTCGCCGGCTTCATCACTTTCCTGATTCACCAGCTCATTGCAAATAGCAAGCAAGCGTGGGAAGCTGTTCTCAACAATGGTATCGAACTGTGCGCGGTCATGGGTGTCATTTGACTTGTATCTGAAAGCACGGCAAATGGCAAGTAGACACTGAAGGCCGGCGAGGACGGAACTAGGGGTATTCGTGTTTAATAGCTCGGTAGTGAAGTCCATAAATCGCGGCCATCTGCTGGGAAAGTCGCATTGCAGGACGCGTTGGAGAACAGGAATGAGCTGCTGGCGCACAGCGCCATCGGAGGCGGCCAGGAGCGGAACCAAGCGGTCTCGAACGCGAGCCTTCTCATCTTCGGGTATTATGTATTCAGTAGAATACTGTTCGCTCTGATACCAGGCACGATTGACGCGGTGTTTGATATAAATGACGGCTAGGTTAAGCAAAAAGGGGGGTTTGGTCAGCGGACGAGCTCGACAACCTCCTAAGAAAGGCGGAGGCGATACGGCGGAGGGAGACATACTTGATAAGCGCACGCTTGCATCCTGTTCAGCTTGTAAAATGTCGAACAAGGCATCGACAAAGCCTGCTTGCTCTTCAATCTATTAGAGATTGGGGAGGCGAGTCAGCATATATTCTCACATTGACTAGTCGAAACGTAATGGTCGCCCTTGCAGCCTCGTCCTGGCAGTCGATTTTTTTTTTCCTGGGTGGTGGCAGAAGTGGTAAATATCTGCTTGAGAGGGACATAGAACCAAAATCAACCCCCCCTTTCCCGGGTTTCGGCCCGCCATAAGTTCATGTCCGGCAGACACTTCCATCTATGAAGAGACGATGGCTATGGTAGAAGCTCATGATGTGCAGAGAATCAAAAGCAAAGGGGAGAAAAAAGCACCGTGAATGGCTGCTGGCAGCGAACCCCTCGGCTCTCTCATGGTCATTGGTGGCAGCGGGCAGGACAAGGTAATGCTTCACATACCTGTTTCAACTGCAGCTCGGCCCGTCGTCTGTTGTCGGTATCGGTGGACAAGCTGCCCAAGAGCAGGTCCCGAAGCGCGACGGTATCCATATTGAGGCTCGAGGGCGGCAGTATTGAGCGAGGTCAGGTTCGGGGTCGAGACGAGTTGAAAGTGTCGGCGAGGAAGTCTCGTGTCGTGGGATAAGATTTGTGGTCGGTCAAGAGGGCGGAAGACGATGGCGGGGCATCCAACGCTATCGCGGGCGTGGGCGTGGGCGTGGGCAGGAGTGTGGGCGTGCGGGCAACAACCAGTTGACAGAAAGGAACAAAGATGGCCAGGCACTTGAGACCCGGGGACGAACTGCTGACAGACAGACCAGACAGACTGGCCGGTCTGTTTGATGTAAAGATGTAAGATGTCTGTCTGGTATGATGAATGAGAAGCGCACGCACAAGGCGGCTAGCAAGGCGCAACCAAAGCGAGCTCTAGGGAGCGCTGGGCCGCGGGCTGTGGGAAGAGATGAAAATATAAATGCAAGAGAAAAAAAAAATCAATGGAGGCTATCTAGAGATGCGGGATGATTCAGAGGGCACAAGCAGACGTGATTGATGGGAACGAGGCAAGCATCCAGTGCTAAGGAAGACGACACTCCAGGCGCTTGGTACTCCGTACCGGGCTGAGGCAAACACGGCGGGAAGGGACAGACATGGAGTGAGTGCCTGGGTACCTGCACATGTGCACCACCTGTGGGTGTGGCTACTAGTAGCTTCGGGGGTTACCAAGGTGCAGGGCTCAAGTGCCATTGGTCTCCGTGCTGGCTGGTGGGAGGCATAAGAAAAAAACTCAAGTGCGCAACTGTCAATTGGTCGGACGAACCAGACGGTCAATGTTCATCAATATCAAGGTCCAGCACATGGGAGGTCTAGGGCTCAAGTCTGGTGCCTCCCAGAGTGGTCCAGAGGGTCGTTGGGTGGCTCCAGGTGGGTCCGGTTGGTCCATGCAGTAAAGAGCTGTCTGGCCGGCACTGGGGACTTGTAGTTAGCGGCCAGTCGACGCCGAGCGCCATTACCCAGCAGCCCAGCAGCTCTGGTGGTGCGTCAATGTGGCTCTGCTTCAACATTGAACTGTTCTCGCACAAAAACTGGGGCCACCGGACGCCCAACACCGAAATTTTCCCTCCACACATATGTCGTCACGTTATGAAGACGGCCTTGTTTCGTTTCTAACATGAATAAGACTTCTTCCTCACTTTGCCACGCTAGCGCCAGAAACGGGTACGTCGACAAACAAAAAGAAGAAGAAAATTTAATTCAGCCCGGCCGGCACCGAAATAATGCACCGCCACTCAGTCATAGCCAAGCAATACCTACTAACCTGCTGCAAAGCAGGATCTATTATACTTAAGTTAGGTACCTAGGTACTCGAGCAAGTACAAGTACCACCATGCACAAGAATAAATATGCCAACGTGGAAATTGAACCAGACAGCCACCTGGTGCGTGCCCTGGGCCGCTGGAGAATGGGGTATGCTCCACCAAACCAGTCATCTTATCACACACACATGTTGTGTGCACTCACCACCACACTCTGACATAAAATATCCCATCTCTCAAATCCCCCCGCCACGGACGTCCAGTGACATTTCAATTGCGAGCTGCGAGCACTACGTGCTCCATACAATCGTCCTCTCGGAGACCTTATCCACGAAACTCAGTTAGGCGTAAGCAAAGCGTGCGTCACGGCCAAGATTGTAACCCAGCCTAACCCAGCCTCGCCCAGTCCGCGCCCAACTCCCACGTCGCACAAGAACAACTTTCAATGTTCACTTTGGCAAATTTGCCACCACACCGACCTGCCCGCCTGCCATCCAGGCATCTTTCAGGCTTCGTCGGCTGCACGCAATGGAGTAAACAAAACGTCAAGCGGAGCAGCCCATCTGTGAGGCTTAAACCAACCTCTTGGCTGCAAGGGTTCCAAGCGTTGCTGATTATTTCGTAGTGCCAAAAAAAAAAAAAAAAAAAAAAGCGGTGCCAAATCTCAACATTCCCATCCACCAGCAACAGCGGCAGGAGCCAAAATACTTGCATACATCGACCCACCATGGTTTGTTTCGTCACCCGCTGCTACAACTGACAACCTTCCAGCAAGTTCCAGGTCCCAGTGAAGCTTTCCCTCCGCGAATAAATATGCGTAACTTAGGTACCTAGGTACCTAGGTACTCTTTTCTCTGGGCGGAAAAAAAAAAAAAAAAAAAAAAGCGGTGCCAAATCTCAACATTCCCATCCACCAGCAACAGCGGCAGTAGCCAATATACTTGCATACATCGACCCACCATGGTTTGTTTCGTCACCCGCTGCTACAACTGACAACCTTCCAGCAAGTTCCAGGTCCCAGTGAAGCTTTCCCTCCGCGAATAAATATGCGTAACTTAGGTACCTAGGTACCTAGGTACTCTGTACTGCCGACATGTTTCTAATCTTGACGGCAACAGCCACGCGGCTTGCTCGCCTCCCGCCAGGGCCTTAAATCCCATCCCGATTTGGCCAACCAGACAGGCGTCCGCTCCGTTGCGGCAAAAGACAAGTGCAACTTATTCCATCCATCTCATATTTTACTCCGTACAATACGGAGCAGCTGTGGGCCGTGCCGCCGTCGTCCGTGAACTGCCAAAAGTCAAGTCTCGGTTGTGGCCGGGCTGCCACGCCGTCTTCCTGGTTGCAGCAGCCGCCATATTCTCGCGTTCAATCGTGTTCCATGTGCCGACGTAACAATGAAACTCCTTTTGCCATGCCTCTCGTTTGCAAGCCCGCCCCGCTTTGTTGCCCAGACGGTGACACACTCAGTGCAAATACGTCGGTCTCAAATCACCTGTTTGCCCACGGCGCACAAGCTCTCTTGGCTCCGTTTCGCAACCGTCGGTCACTAACAAAAGTCAGCTTTCAAGCTTCGTACTGAATAGATGGATACATGTGTGCAAAGTACCGCCCTCCCGCAGCGTCGATTTACCAATCACCAAGCTCAAGTACGCGGCAGTAGATATATTGCGGCAATATGCCAAAGTATTGACGTAGCAAGGCTGGAAGTAGCTACATATCTAGGTACGGGTACCTACCAGGCACTTGAGCACGTGCGTCGGTAGCTCATAATCATGCATGATGCTGGGAGTACATATTACGGAAATATTATATCGTCCCGCGATGCCAAGGGTCGGGGTGTTTTCAAGTTGACCTGCCGCCTTCTTTGCACCTAGTAGGTACCCCTGTAGGTATATCTGCCCCATTCATAAACTTGCCCCCAGCCAGATTTCTTTCATCGCTTCCATCTTGAAAACCGTCAAGTTGATTCCACATCTCACTTGGAGCCCAAGCAATATGCGGTAACAAGCGCGTTACTCGCAAAGGCGACACAGATTGACTAGGCCCGCGCAATGTTGCCAAAGTAATGGAAGCTATGGCAGCTCAAGACATTGGATCCAGCACGTCCAGTCCACATTTGCTTTCCTTACCTTGAAGGCAAACTCAAGACCCTACTTGCTAGCCCGGCAATGTACTCGTAGGACAAGCGGCTTGACCCTCAGGAATTCAACACCATACGCTCCCTAAGCCCGTGGCGGTGTACTAATCGAAGTTTTATCATGTACGGGTGGCGCCAGTCCCATGGTCTTTCTTGAACCAAAATAGGCTCAAAATAGATGGCATCCATCAACGTAGTCTCTGTCAACCATGAATCGATAAGCTCAGGGGTCCAAGTGGCGTCACTCCTTTCTCCTCTCCCTCTTCTTCCTATCCTCTGGCATGTCTGTTAGAAACGTCTCAAAGGGGCAATCGTCTTGAGTATACAGCGTTCGACTTTGATCCGGAAAAAAAAAGTTTGGAAGTGTTATAGAAATACTCCCAGCTGGCCAATATCGCATGTCGGAAACAGATATATCATCATTTGTATAGGTTGGACTTGGTTTGTAAACCTTTGGCTACTTTATTGCGGCCAAGGATGAAATGCCTCGACGAGCATTTGCTCAGGAAGCCAAACTGCACGTGTCATGGTTGGCGCAAAGCGAGTTGCCTCGAACTCAATTTATTCCTCGCCTGAAATTAAAGTTGCTCTCCCATATCTCTTATCACCGCAAATCCCATATGCATCCTACTCGTCGTTTTTGCTCACTTCACCAAACAAAATACATTAGGTGCTTTTATACTGCCCTCGTATGCTGGACGCATCTCGCTAACAACCTCTAGAAAAGAAAATCAAATCGCTGGCCAGATTGGGAATTATCATCGGGGGCGCTGCAAGGTCCAGTCCAGGATTGCGGCGTAGGTGCAAATAATCGTTTCGATCTTGTGCACATGAAATTTGAGCAGATGCCTGAACATAATCTGACACCAGGGCACGAGCACCGGAACAAGGAAAGTTGTTATCGTCACAGAAACAACGCATCAAGCTGGGTAAGGCTGGACCAGCATAGCGGTTGCGGGAATAGAACGGACGAAAGCAAGACAGACATCTCCGGAATAGGTGGCCATTATCTCCAGGCATAGGTCGAACTTACATGGTAACAGGTTGCCAAACTTAATGGTTAGAGCACCTGGGCTAAGGTAGCTTCCCCATCAAGAACAATACTGCCAATAAATGATTTTGCCCAACACATTCCCAAGGGATCGCGAGATTGAAGAGTAGGATAAGAGCGCCAGATACTCGGAAAATTCGCGGATTTGCGCGGTGACAAAGCATCCTGTTGTTCTCCAAGAGTCTGGTCTGCAAGGATGGCCTAACATTTTCATTTGAGTCCATGCCGTACTGGATTTACGCCTCTATGTCGGGAAAAAAAAGGGTCCAGGCAAGAGTATTAGTCCCGAGTCCAAGGCAGAGGAGAAAACAAGTAACGGAAAATTCTTCTGGCCATGATGGATCAGAAACATCATTTGATACCTAGCTGCTATGAGAATAACAAAGCGGTTAGTTCATCTCAATGCAAAGGGCTCATTAGATAACTCCATGTGAAGGAATCCGGGATGAAACGCGAAAACTTAACGGGAGAGGGTCCTCTTGAACACATCTGGCTAGTATATATAAACTCATTTTGAAACTTACCATGCTGCCCGGACATCCCCTCAGCTTTGGCTCATGGAGAGCGCGGTGAGCATCCAGGACCACTCCAGCAGGTCAAGCCAAGGCGACCAAGTGGTGAGCTAGTCATAATCCAGTTATTAGGGTAACTCCACTAGAAGGACCGGATCCGGGCAGCGAGGTAAGGACATAAGATAACGACGAAAAAAATAAAAAATAAAAATAAAAATAAAAACCACCATCGACGACCATGAGGGGCCAGTCAACCCAACCTGCGCCATAAGTATTTGGGCATGACATCAATCAGCATATTTCATCCCGGGCTTTCCTATGAGCCTAACTAAAAGAGAAAGACTGGAAATGCAGTAATCCCGCCCATTCATAGTCAAAACGTATAAATGAATCCAAAGCTCAAAAGGCATGCGTTTCCAGGGCTAAATGACAACGAATGCAAAGAGCCAAGTGCCAGATGGTGTATCCCAGGGTGTGAATAAGTCTTTTCTGTCTTTTCTGTATCCAGGAGAAATGACTGGCAAAGAGCATCGGGTGACATTGTCCAGGTGCTTTGGTTCGATGAGAGGCAAACTTGCTACTCTCAGAGGCATCGTGTACAAAGAGTATATCCAAATGGGGGTTATCCGTGGAACAAGTTTAACAAAAAATATATAAAAAAGGGCGCAGGGCGCCAATCCAAGAAGGTAGAGTTCGAGTCCAGAGTCCAGAGTCCAGCCATTTATAAAACATAAGCAACGCATAATCACAAGGTTGGCCACAAAAAGTCGTACCATGGCTAATTGGTCGTGCAAAAAAATGAAAAGTCAAGAGTGAAAGGGGAACGGGCGTCCTTTTTCTAATTTTTTATCGTCGTGGGGGTCGCGGTTGTTGCCTATCGGAATCCCGGTCACTACGACGACTACTTGAGCCACTGGGAGGTGTTTGATTTCTTGCAACAGGCACGGAAGGGCGGGTTTGAGGGGATTCATCATACTGTTGTCCTTGGACTGCAAACCCCGGCTGTTGTTGCGGTGGCTGGGGAGGAACTTGGCCTGCTGGTGAAGCTAAAAAATTAGACGCGGGGCCTTTTTGGCGAGCTGGGCTCGCATGATCTCTGCTTTGACGCACCTCGACCATAGAACGGGTCATGGGGTTGCATAGCCGGGTACGAGTGGCCACCGGCGGTGGAAGGAGGAGGAGCCTGGCCCTGATACTGATATTGGGGAGCTGGGTATCCAGGTTGAGGCGGTGGTGCTGTGGAATAAACTGGCTGCTGAGGGGCGGCAGCAGAAGTTCCCATCCGGCTTGAATAAGGATCATTGGAGACTGGATAACCGGCTTGGGGCAAATTGGCACCAGTGCCAATATATGGAGGATCCTGGTTCGGTTGATAGCCTGGACGCATCATTGATCCGGGCTGGGCAGTAGTGTACCTTGGGTCCGGAGGCGGCGACTGTTGAGGCTGCGGGAAACCGGCACTAAAGCCACTGCCGTTTGAGGCGCCAAAGGGCTGTTGTGGGGGCTGTTGCTGGTATGTGTTAGAAGCACCGGTATATCCAGGAGCGCCAGTTCCAGGGTATCTCGGTGCATCATAGGTTTCCCGGGGATACGGCTCCGGCTGGAAAGAAGGGGGCTCGGTAGGCCCATGATGTTGCCGGGACTGGTGAGTCTCGGAGTAGCGGTATTGGACTGCTGGTGAGTTAGATGAGGGTCTCGCAGGAACGCCAGTGGCATCTCTCGAGGCATGGATACCTCCAGGGGTATTGCGCGAAGTTTGCGCACGCCTTTCACTATCCCAGCGCGCCGAATCGGCTTTCAAGTCTTCAATCATAGCCTGGAGAAGAATGTGAGCCTAGAGCAAATATTTTCCATGTGTATGCAAGACAAGACTCTATTCCACGGGATGTTGGTAGAATTAAAGACAAAAGGTGTGCTCACGGTTGTTAAATTTCTATATGCGGTAATGTAGTATCCTTGAGCGACCTGGCCGGTTTGGGGATTCTACATGAGAAGTAAATCATCAGTGACTCGTGTCTCTCCCAATGTACGGCATATCTCAAGTGCCCAAGATCAGAGAAGATAGAAGCCATACCTCGTAATGCCCAGGCCGCACCAAGGCATCATTGCCCAGGTAGCGGCAGATATCGGCCGAGATGACCTCACGATCGATGCCATCGCGCGGCACGAAGTATTCGTTTTGCCGAGTCGCGGTCGGCTGCGTAGACGCTCCCTGGGGGCGGGGTTGTCTAGACATCGTGAAGGGTCGACAGGAGAGGTTATCGTCGCAAGTGTGAGAGAGAGAAAGGGAGGGGCGCGCGAGGTGGCCGAAATGACAAGAAAGAAGAGACGGAAGAGAGCCCGCGAGGGAGATTGTGAAAGGTAGATGGGGAGGAGAGGAGGCTGTCAAAAGTGAGGCAGGCAGTGGAGGGAAGAAAAGAAACCTGCACGGTATGAGGTATGACCTGCACTCGACAGGTCAGCAGGGTCAGCAGGCAGCGTCTGAGGGGCTCAAAGGCAGGGGAGCAAATCAGGTCAACTGGTACGACTGGTCCACAGGGTCAACTGGTGGCACTCCTTGCAAGTTGGTGGGTGGGCAGTGGGCGGCGGGCAGTGACCTTACAGGCAGGAGACGCAACAAACTTGACACAGCACCTCGACACAGCACCAGACTGGAGGCCAGATGCCAGTCAATCAGCCGTTTACTGCCCGAGACAGGACAGGGGTCCAAGTGTCGACTCAACTGGTCAGGTCTCTTGTGCAAACTTGACTCTTTTGGCAAGCAGCAGCCACACACCGCACGTCTACCGATCGCCGTGGCCGACACAATGTCCACAAAAAACTACCGCTTCACGGCTAGAATCCGGCCCAAGAGATAGCGTGGAGGCCAAAAAAAGGTACAAAAGAAAGGGAGAGAGGGAGAGAGGGAGGGGGAGAGACAAGAGAAACCGCCCGGGTGGCCTTGTCAATGTTGGGCTCTTGGGCTGCCAGACACCGACACAGCGACAGTGACCCTCTTTGCCCTTCAAACGAATGGGACAAGCACTCTGTACCAGGCAGAGCGAGCAACTTGGCCAGGCTACTCCGCGTTGATGGTTGATGTGGTGAAGTACCTACAGCAGGTAGAAGGGTACGATACATGAAATCCTCCCAAGTAGCTGGTGCTCACGCGTAGACAGGATTTGTCCACCGTCAAGAGTACTAATGCCAGGTCCTGCACCTTTCCTCCGGTGCGGCGGGGTGACGAGGACAGTCCGTGATTGTCTACTCCTGCTGCCGCTGAGTCCCAATCCAGCTTCCTCGCTGTAGATAGGAATACTACTCTATACAACGAAACGGACACAAACTGCAGAGATGCAGGCGCAGGCACGGCAGCACCAATGATCCACTTCCCGACAGCGTCTTGTCGCCCAGTTGAGCTTCAAATGGCCCCGAGCAGACCCAAGGTCCAGGGTCGTTGCTGTGTGACTTTGCCTGTGACGGTGCAGTGGCTGGCTGGCTGCGGCTGGCTGGCGGGGGTTGGGCTGGCTGTCTGGGTTCAATATTCAGTTGGGCTGCACTGCTCCAACCTAGGACCCTGCGACCTGCAACAATGTGGGCGGAAAATGTGGCGCTGGTTTTTGGTGATTTTTCTTACTGGTCTCACAAATGGTTGGTTGGTTGGTTCGCCACTTTGAACCCGAGAGAGGTCAGATGCCAAGCAGACGAGAGGTTTTCCAGCGAGGGTTGGTGGTATGGGACTAACCAGACCGAGCTCGTCTAGGGGTAAGCTCGAAACTCGCTTGTGAATGCCTCTCTGCCGGCTTTACGCTCTCTAACAGTATGGAGGCAATATTTACTTCTCAGCACAGCGCGCTGGCCCTCTGGCAGTGAGAAACGGCGTGGGCGGACGCTCGAGACGACTCTTCGGAAAGCGCCGCCACTATGCTTCGTGGCAGTCTCGCCGTGCTAGCAAGATTACCAGCAAACGTCCCGGCCCCTTCTGCTGAGTGAAGGAGCTGCCTAGCTGGAAGTTCCCCTTGCTTCCGACGGAAGTAGACGGTAGTATGCTCGTCTAGGGAACGAAACGTTGGTTAGCGTTTGGAGCCTTTGTGCGTATCGGGAAGCAATCGGCAAGATTTGTTGCCAGAGTGCTATATAGTTTTCGAGACGACGGGTATAACATTAGAAGGCCGCATGGGATTTGTGGCCTCATGTGAAACAAATGCGGTATCCTTGACTTCTGGCTGTCTCCCCTCTAGAAGATTCAGAGGGCAGCAGATGCAAGTATGGCGTTCAAAGTCTACTCGCGGGTTCCGAGGACAATGATCTGCCAGAGTGCCAGAGGTAGTGAGGACTTAGGGAAGTGATGGACAGCTGAAGTTATCGTCAATATCCAAGGAGGAATGCTCCGTAGTATGACCGCAAGTATTCGTACTTTGGTCTCCTGGCACACGCACATCTGTGGTGTAAGCACTTGGTGGCGTACAATACCCAGATCGGCTGGCGTTTCCGACTCTTTGTCTCAGAGAAGTAGTGTCACCATGTGCGGCGCCGTACGATAATACGTCAAGGAAATAAAGTAAGGTTGCACACGATTTGGTCAACCGGTGTGATGCTCTCAAGATCAACCTGACAGCAAATGTCCATTGCAATAGTCGTCCAGGTCGAGAAGCTGTGGTGAAATTTATACCAAATCCATTGTCATACATGCAAGATCTCCCTACAATCACCTCGAGAGACTGTCGATAGATTTGATCAAAGAATCCCGGTACACTCGCCTCACTCATCTTCTTCGGAAAGCACAAATGCACCCGTTTCAATACGTAGGGTCCACCCTGTGGAGGGCGAGCGGGCGAGCAAGAAGGTAAAACGCAAATTCCATGAAAAATAGCGCATGATGCAGTCCACAGAAGCAAGAAGACGTGTCAGTCATGCTGCTGGTGGACTGTTGTGAGAGTCCCGAAGCCAGAATTCTGAAGGCCGATGCCCCGATTTGCCTCAGACCACAAAAGGTGGCGACGACTTTCCCAACCGCCTGTCCCACAAGGTTTTGACTAGTCTCGGGCCGCAGTTGGGTATCGACGCCTCTCGCCAATTGGAGCCTAACACGCTTTCAAGGCTTGTGATAACTAGTTTGATATCACGTATCGTGAACACTAGGGCTCCACCGAGGCGAATATCTGTTTGTCCAATGACTAATTGCCTAATGTGACCTCATCAACCTATCAGAGAGGAGGGAAACTTTTGTCTTAGTGACAAGTCCCGGCATCGAGTGCAGAAATTCTCAAGTGTTAATTATGTTCTCACAAAAACTGCCTCATTGTTATGTCAAGCCATCAGCCACCATATCACCATTGCCGCGATCAAGGACCTCTTCGGAGGACTAGACCATGACATCTCCCGGTGTGCACGTCACATTCAGCATTGGAGTAATTGCTTACGCCCAGCTTTCAAGTCCAAGGCATGCCTCGCTTGTACAGACAAAGTGGGTGTGACTCTTGCATCCTTCCGACACAGAATCTTGGCGTACACGACCGGCAGTACTCCGTAATGCTGCTCGGGTTTCGTGTCGTTGGTAAGTAGACGAAATAGTGAGGTAACTATGTCTTGCCCCTTGTGGACTCTGAGCCTTCAATTCCAGAACTCGTTTTTCTTTTTTCAGAGTCGACAGAAATGGAACGTCGTACGTACAAATCCGTTCCCCCGCATTCCGAGCTGGTAGATACGAGTTCGGCTTGGTTATGCCGCAATCTCGCTCCATAGGGTCATCCGAAACTGAGCTTCTGCTGTCCTTGTTCCAGCTTATTTCCGCGGCTACGCTTGGATGCTGCACCTGATCCTTTTGGAGCCGAATTGCGGGAGAACGATGGCTTATAAACGGGCGTGCTTTTAGCACGTTCCTGCTCCTGAATGTCCTTTGCCATATGCCAATCTTCATGGCTTTGAAGCTGTTCCGCATCAACAGAAACAAAATTGCATCGAGCGCAGAGAAAGCTAGTAATTTGAGCCTGGCCCTCGGGAAATTCTCTTTCTGTTGAGTTGGCAGCTTCCTTTCCCTGAACTAGTGCAGAAGTATTGTCACGCATATACATGGGAGCAGCTTCACCGCTTGTGGTACTCAGGGCCTCCCCATTGCTTATGCCATCCCTGGAGAAGAACCGTTGTATGTCGTTGGTCATTCGTGGTTTCTTATGCGAGTGGACGTCGGTCTCGACTGATCTCTTCTCGGGAAATTTACACCTCGCCGGAGCTGCCTCCTCGCCTCTGACTAGGAAAGCACCAATCCCCATATTACCCTTCACGCCATCTTCAAATCCACCAACGCTAAGGCTGAGATTTGCACATGGCCAGACCTTGTCCTCTGCTAAGATTTGAGTGAGGAGATCCTTAGCCAGGTGAAATAAAGATTCTTCGTCGATGACTTGACCGGGAGGAATCGGGCTTTGCTTACTGCGAGTTTGGCCTGCATGGCGGTGATGCAGGTTAATGGAGCGAGGTCGTCGTCTGTTATCCAACACGCCTTCCTCCACTAATCGAGAGAATATGTCGCCGACAAAAATTCTCAACCATTTTAGTGCCTGTTCCTCCGTGCTGATACTAGGTCGGAAGGACTTGGCGGAGAGCATAGATTTGATTTGGGTCCGAGAGTTGACCTCGCTATTGTCAATACCTCGTAGTGTATCGTGAAGCCATGAGCCGGTTTCATCACCGAGCTTCGATTTCATCTGCTCCAATGAAACTTCAAGAAGGTCTTTGATACTTTGCGTGTTAAATACCGACACAACTCGCTCTCCGAGTTTGCCGCCCAAATTGCGAATCTTGGTCACCTTGAAGTCCGCCAGAAATAAATGCACTGCACGACTCCGCACAACCGTTTGGCTGTTGGGCTTCTTGAAGCCGGAGCCCAATTTACTGACCATTTTGTTGTTCGCAATGCCAGCGGAGCATGTATACCCCAACCTCCCGTGTACTTGTGCACGAACATTGCGCACAATCTCGGATCCAATGAGAATTGCAACATCGTCCCAGTCCGGGTCTTGACTCTCTTGATCCTCATCCAAGTCCACCAAAGCATCAGCTTTCCAGTCCAGAGCCGCTATGGAAGGCAAGGGAAGCCTCTCGGCGAGGTCATCATACGGGGGTGGATTCGACAACTCAGGAAACCGCTCCAAAAGTATGGTATGAACGTGGGCTGACAGGTCGAGAAAGACTTCGTCGATGCTAGCCTTCTCCACCTTTTGCAGGTTGGGAGGCAGCGTGTCTCGGATGAGGGCGAGAATCTTCCTAGACTCCAATCTGTATGGATCAAGTGACACCTTGTCTGTCGCGATGCTGGCGGCAGCATCGTCCCGGTATGCCCACTTGTCATCACCTTCTCGCCATGTGGCAACATGTTGGGCAATGAGGTCTGGGCAGAGTTTCCTGGCCTCGGTCACATTGCAATGTCGACCGATGCCCCACGCTCGCGCTGGATAGTTCACCGCGATGAGTCCTTGCCTGAATATGGCGTCAGCGCATGACTTCGGACAAGCAGAGGTGGCTCAACATGCGATAAGACTATCTACTAGGTAGGTTGCTACCTCACTCACCATTGTTGGACCGCGAGAGGCTTGTCCCCAGGAACCCCTAGCCTCACCATTTCACATTGTGCATAAAATGCATCTAGGTCGATGTGAGCAATGACGCGAAGTGGATTCGACGTGTTAAATGATGCCAGCTGGCCGAGCTGACGATATGTGAACTTTGAACGCGCCGCCGGCCTTACATCTGGCGGCGACGAAATGCCAACCACGGGCGATGATGACATCGCTTTAATACGAACTGAAGCGCGTCTTCATGGCCCTTTGAACGCGTCCACGGAACATAACCCGGGCTGACCGCCGGCGGTGTCTGATGGAGGATGGCCTGATGGATGTTGAATGTTGGACGGTGTGCCACGCCGCTAGGTCCTTCAGCTTTGTAAGAGGTGCAAGAATGGCAGTGCAAGGAGTGAGGCTATCTCCAGCCCTCAATGTCCATTGTGGAAGGTACGATGCACTAACTAGCCTCGGTAGCCCGGCCCCCACTTCCGATTCCAGAAACCCTGTGGCGATCACGTTTACTTGAGATTTGTAGGATGGATCTAGTATTCCGCAAGTCGACTGTCTTCCATATTTCTGTCCAGAGACAGGCATTGGTCACTCGTTTCGATCTTTGTCCTCATCGAGATGTTCGCTAGCTATTGCTGTGCTCGAACTTTCTTCTTTCGTTCCGCCGTTTGGCAGCCTGGTTGAAACGACAATTATCCACAAACGCATTGGCAATATCTTGAGATCACCTACCTGAAGGGTTGCATCCCGCTGATTGTGTCTGAGCCTGTTGTGACTAATGTTCGTGGCGTGTGTTCGGACATGTCCATGCCATTCATGGAACCTTGCCAATGTAACAACACCGCAGCGTACTCTACTGAAAATACCCGCAGGATAAACTTGGCTATCGCAACTATTTATTTGGACGGCGAGGAAAAGCAGCTGCCTTGGTAAACCCTGGCTCGCAAAGTAGCATCTCTGCCACGGCTGGTATGTCGATACAATTGTTGTGCGATCGATGCTTCAAGTGTCCATAATCACTGGAGAAGAGCACTAACCCGTCAAGTCAATTTAGATACGCATGAGTCTCCAACTGGGCTGCAGATAAACGAGCCGAAAATCACCTCCAGATGGATCGATGGGAGTGACCTCGTGCAGATTGTAGAGGTCTATATCAATAACACAGACCCAGCACATTATTTGACAGAGGCAGACAACTTGGTTGTGGAAGTCCTGTCAGACTCAGTAGACACTGTCGTACATGGAACGCTCAAGCGCCCCGGCCCCAGACAAGCTGCCATCGTTCAAACTGGCATTAAGAAGAAGCCAAAAGCACAGTCGGGCTTGCAGTGTACTGGAACTATTGTCGCCAAATACGGTAACAAGAAGGGAGGCAAGCAAGCTACGCAGCCCGTCTCTGGAACATGCGGCTTCATGGACTATACTGTAACGAAATCCAGTGTCAACCCTCATCTCGCTCCAGATTGGTTCAATGACCTCAAGTATGGAGTTTTCATTCATTGGAGGCCTTATGCTGTACCTGCCTATGGAAGCGCGGGCATGAATGAAAATTATGCAGAATGGTAAGTATTTTAGGCTCACAAGTAAGGGGTTTCAATTCACGTTTCTATAGGTACTGGTCATCAATGCAGTCTCCCAATGGCAAGACCAAACTTACCAGTATCACCTGAAGACTTATGGCAAGGATGTCAACTATGATGACTTTTTTGCCAACTTCACCGACAAAGGCTTTGATCCTCGAGAATGGGTGCGATGCAGGTGCTCAATGTTTTGTGCCGACGAAGGGCATGTATGCCTAGTATTGGAACGGCTCTTAGCCGTTAGAAAGCCTATTATATCTAATCTGACCTTACAGAGCACCATGATGGCTTTGCCTTGTTTAACTTGTCAACTGCACTAAGCAGAAGATCATTAATCCACTATGGCCCAAAAAGAGACATCATCAAGAACCTTTTTGCCGCCCCCAAGAAGTATCAGCCTCATCTCCGACTGGTTATAGAGAACAAGTACCATCATTGCGTGGAATTACTCCTTTACGTTCCGGATTTTAGGCACATATTTTAGTATGCCCGAATGGTTCAACCCAGCATATAAGAAGCATGGCTTCAGTGCTTGACCAGGTGGCCCCCCAACGAATCCTTACACGAAAGCAGAAACCCCCTACACCGGTTTCGTAGAGGTCGAAGATTTTGTCAAGGACATTCAGTTGCCCCAGATGAGAACGTTGGCCGACGAATATGATATCGATGTCATGTGGTGTTATATCACGAGTAAGGGGAATAATGCGACAATATTTGCACCTGAATGGCTGAATTCGGCACGCAAGAACAAACGGCAGGTGACCTTTAACAACCGCTGCGGAATACCCGGAGACTTCGACACTCCGGAGTACGTATATGTGATGATTATATTTTTGGATTTTGCATCTATACTGTTGGTCACTGTATGGACTGTGTTGCTAACCTCTGTTCTGTGTAGATATGTGACCAACGGAGACACAGTCATACGAAAATGGGAAGCCAGTAGAGGCATGGATCCGCATTCATACGGCTACAATGCCCAAACACCAGACTCCGCCTATCTCACGGGTGAACAGATTGTGCACACCCCGGTTGATATGGTGAGTAAGAACGGCAATTTTCTCCTTGACATTGGACCTACCGGGAATGGATCCATTCCACATTTCATGCAGGACAACCTGCGAGATGCCAGCAGATAGATCAAGTCCCGTGGAGAGAGTATTTTCAAGGGAGGATTCTGGACCGTCAAGCCGGGGTCTGATCCATTTCGTTATACGACCACGAAGGACGCTTTCTACATTCATCACATTGGAAAGCCATCCAAAACCCTGGATATCACTGATCCGGTCCCACATTTGCCGGGCGATAAAGTTACTGTCGTAATCGGAAGACTGAACGGCAAGACTGTCCCCGCGTCGTGGAACGAGGTTGGTTCTCTGAAGCTCACTTTGGGAACGGATGTACTTTCCGGGGGACAGATACATCTGGACGTTCAAGATTCAGTACAAGTAGAACAGTTGCGGCATTAAAAAGAACATCCCAGCACACCGAGACGCGATAAAGGTACTTGATGTAGCATTTTTGTTGGTTCAAAACTCCCGCTGGCAGCTAATCACCATCCGACGGAGCGTTTTGTGAGCTGTTGTCTCGTATGGACTGGGCGAGAAAAGATTCATATTAATCCATGCGAAACAGCTCTAGGTTTTCGGATTGAGGCGCGACAAATTTAGGGTGGGTTTATTCAGCATCCCCTCTGGCGTAATTAGCATCCCATTTGTGGCTGGGCCCTGTCAGCTACCGGTGTCGGAATTTACTAGTGATTAGTAAGGGAATTTTAACAGGCTAGCCTCACTATTACTATAATAACTTCACACATAATATAACACATAACATAACAGGCAATAACACTGTAAATTAACCCTTTTTATAACACTAAAATCAGGCATTTTTATCCTTTTAATAGAGGCCCTTTTTAATCGTTAATTTAGTAGCTTTAATGCTATTAAAGAGGCTATTAATAGCGTTATTAAAGATGCTAGTTATACTCTTATTATTTATATAAAACGGCTAAATACAGCTAATCTAACGCGAATTATATTTTAATATGTTAGAGGTCACGTAAATAAGCCTTACCTAAAAAATAAAGCTTATAATTATTACTACTACCTTAATATATCTTTAAAGATAATAGGTTATAATTTTTAGCTTATTATTACCGTATAAGATAGTGTTTTTTAAATTTAACTATTAAAGCCTTATAATTGATATAATTATAAGCTATTATTAATAATAGTAATTCCGCGATTTCGTCGTTAAATAATTAATATAAGAAAGGAAGAAATTATTTTTATGTATAATAGCGGTAACCCTCCTATTAAGATTCTCGCTATATTACGAGATAAGCTAACCGGTTAAATTAAAGCTATTATAAGGCATGATATTTACGAGTTAATTCGGCGGTATTATTACGTAGAATTAGCCGGCCGTACGAAAATTAAGTGGCTTTATAATTAGCTTCGTAAAAATAAGGCTTTTTACTATTATAACCAGACCTCTAAATGTATTGTATTTTTTGTATTTTTTACTATACTGTATTGTAATATTAACTTTTAAATTCGTTTTATTTATAGTATATTATTTAACTATAAGCGTAAGGCTTAAAGTTCCCTTACGCTTATAGTATATAAGAGTCCCTATAATAGTATTTATTCTTCTACTAGGTTAATATAGTAATCTTAAGGTTAATAGTCTAGTAACTATAAGGTAGCCTTATTTAATATTATTAAGGTAAACGCTTTAAATTCCTTAAGTACTATAACTTTAATCGCTTTAATAGTATTCTTAGCCGTAACTATTCTATTATTAAAAATAAGTTTAAGAGACTTTAAACTAAAGTAGTATTTATAGTAGTATTTAAAGTTAAAGCGAATATTATTCTTATTATTCTATAAATTAATAGGTTAATATTATTTTAGCTATTAATATAATAGAATTATATTATAATCTTCTCTTATAGTACTAAGCTTAAAGCTAAGACTTATAAAATAATTATTCTAATACCTTAAAATAACTAGTTTTATATAATAACGGTTATTAGACTTATTAGGCTAGTTATTAAACTTATATAAGGTCTTTTTTTAAGAACGTTTATAGATTTCTAGGCTTACTTATTAGGCTAATTTAATTAATATTACTAGAAAAGAGCTTCTATTATTAAGTAAAACTTATACTATTCTTTTTTAATTACTATTAAGAATTATTATTTAAACTATTAGTCTTAGTTTTAAGATTAATTCGTTTAGCCTTTATTATTTTAAGAGTAAGGCTATAATATCTTTATTAAGGGGTCTTTTTCTTAATAATAAGTTAAGAGCCTCTTTTAAAAATTCAATTTTAAGTTAAAAGGGAGTATATAGCCGCACTTAGTAGGGTCTTTAATAATTACACTAATTTATAGTTATTTAGCTAGCTTAAAGACTTTCTTCTTATTTTCTTTCTTCTTTTATTTTTTCTTAAAGATAATAGTTACCTTTCTTTCTAGTAGTACTATTAAGGTATTACCTTTAAGGTCTTATTTTATAAAGTAAAATACTACCTTATAATTATTTTAATTATAATACTAATATTTAACGCTATCTCTTTTTCTTTTAATAATAAGAGTATTATTTATTCCTTTAATAGCTTTCTTTAATAATATGTATACCTCTTTAAATTTATTAGGCTTATTATTCTTTAAGAATACCTTTAATAAACCTAATATTTTCTTAAAGCTAGTTTATAATTATTATTATTTAAGAGAGCTTAACTTTAAGCGCTTTAAAGTTAAAGTAAGTAAATCTTTTTTTAAGTTTACTTTTAAATAATTAAGGTTTAATAATAACTTCTTATAAACCTTTTTAGCCTTTTATAAGGTACTAATAAAGTCAGACCTCTAAATGTATTGTATTTTTTGTATTTTTTACTATACTGTATTGTATTGTATTGTAATGTAATATATTACAATACATTACAAGATTAGAATACCTATAAATGTATTATAAGGCTATAAAATATCTAATAATATAGATAAATGCTTATATAAGCATATTATATATTAAAATAAAGCTAAAAATCACGTGATTTTGAATCTTTAAAAATTAACCTTAAAATGTGGATATTAAGCGAGATATTAAGCTTTAAAGTTATGTCTTAAAATAAAAAGTAAGTAAAGCGGGGCGAATTTTCAATTGCTTATAACTTCTTAATGTAGTAACTTATAATAGTAAAAAGTAAGGCATTTTTAAGAGCTGATTTAGCTCTTTTAAATGATATAAAATTTTTCCTTATAACCCTTATAATTAGCCTTATAATTTTAAGTTAAAAAAACAAGGGTCTTTTTTCCTTAAAATACATTTATAGGTATTTTACTAATGTAATGTAATGTATTAAAATACAATACACGAAAATACAATACAATACAAAATACAATACACAATACACTTGTATTTACTATATTCGTAAGAGCTCTGATTATAACGATTATAGCCCTAACGGTTACATTATAAGGCTTTTTATTACCCTAATCGCTAGCATTAAACTTCTATAATTCTCGCCTAATATTATTCTCTTTAATAGCACATATAAAACAAATTGATTTAATATGCTAATATTTAATGCTTATAGAGTTATAGTATTAAAGAGGTCTTTTTAAATAGCTACTATTTTTTTATTTAGTAAGGTATAAGGCGATTTTTAATAGGCTCTTAATACTTTATCTAAAATACTACGATTTTATTTAATTATAAAGTTAAAGGTTATTATATTAAACCGTGATTTAGCTCTTCTTTAAGCCCTTAAGGCTAATAGCTTTTTTTATAATATTACACACCTTTTATACTATTAGCATATAAATATAAATATACTAGCTAAGTGTAAGAGGTTTTTTCTAAAAGCCTCGTATAACTCTACTATTAAAACTACTAAAAGAGCCCCTATATTTATAAAATTTATTAACGATTAGAATGCCCTTATTAAAAGCCCTATAAAGGCCGAATTTAAACGTAAATTATAGCAATTTTAAGAGCCTAATCGTTATTCTTAATAAGCTGTTTAATACACGTTAAATACCTAAATTACGCCTTAAAAAACTAAGCTTATACGCTACTTTATTAATTAATATTATTATTTTAATTATATAATAATATTAATTATTAAGTTATTACATACTATAATAAAAAGGTTTCTTTAAAGTAATTATAGTAATTTAAGTACCGTTTTTTAACAGCTATAAATCTTCTAGAGGTATTAAGAGATTAATATTAATAATTTACATGCTATTAGCTACTCTAGAACTTTATAATACGCTTAAGAACCCCTTTATTAATTAATTTAAGATTAAATATTATAACTAGTATTATAGCTTATTTTTAACGAGTAATAAGCTATTAACCTAAAGCTTAAAAAAGCGCCTAAGATACCCTATACGTATGCTAATAAAACCGCCTTTAAGCTACCTTACTAGCATAACCTTTTTTAATTATTACGCTTTAAATAGCCGATTAAGCTTAATAATATTAACGAGCATTAGCATAAATATCACGGAAAAGCCTTAAATAACACGAATTCTCCTGCTAGACTATTTAATCCCCTTTTAATTAGGGTAAAAGGCTAGCTAAAGGGGGCCCTTAGGTTAAAAAAAAGCTCTACTATCCAATCGACCCGCTATAAGCCCTTTAAATTCAAGTATATTATCGCTAAAGAGGCCCTTAAAGCTTAAGCTAACCGTTAAAATCATTAAAAACCGCTGCCTTTAATAGCTCCTATAGCTATTAAAGTATTACGATTAACTTTAATAGCTATTAGCCTTAAAGCTATTAATTAATATAATTTATACGAGCTAGGCACTGAGGGCCCTTAAGCTTACATGCGTTTTACAGCTATAATTAAGAATCGTAACGATATTAATGAAAATAACGGAATTACAGCCTTAATACCATAAAATTCATCGCTAAAAGCCTTATAGCGTCCTTTTTCAGAGTTATAATAGGGGAGTTAGGATACCTCGTTTATTTAGGATAATAATATTACGCCTGAATTTAAAGGTAAAATGGATTAAGTCTTTAAAGAAATAATATAATAAGCAACTATAATAGATAATATTATGCGATAGCTAGTGCTAACGATAGAAATCTCTGAATAGCTTCATTTAAATGGATTAATTTAAGTGATTTTTTATAAAGGCGCGACTATACAAATAACCTTTACGTTATCCCCATATAAAAATCTATGGGGGCCCAGTATTAGGTGTCGTAGCCACAGCAAGCCACAAATGGGATGCTAATTACGCTAGAGGGGATGCTAAATAAACCCACCCCAAATTTACCTGTTAACGTGTCACCCCACAACATCGTTAGCCCCCCATTTTCGTTATATCTAGGGCTCTATTATAACACATTTAATATATTTACTTAAGCTTAAATCTCTTTACTATTATAAGGCGTTTATTAAACCTATTATTTATTAATTTTCTGCTTTTTTAGTGTTATAAGCT